GAGACCAGATGAAGCTTCTGCAGCCGGAGCTCTTCTCCCTCTCTGCGTCCATAAACCATCTTCTCTATTCTTTTTAATTTACAGCCAAAGCCATGATCTGTGGTTAAATATAATGTCAGACTCCAGGCACAGTGGAGTGTATTTCAAAATCCCCAGCTTCTGTATGCTCTTAAATGCTACTTTGAAAGGATTCAGTGACCCCGCAGACGCATGCATGCCTGCCTCCCTTTGTAGTGGCCATAGTGTGTGTGTGTGTGCGTGTGTGTGTGTCCGTGCGTCGGCTTGTGTGTTACATAAACATTTTGCTCTCTTCAGTTCCATTTCATAGCATGTAGGCTTCTCCTGCTGCGAGCCGAGAGCTTTAAAAGGGAGCGCTGGTAATGAACACTGCTTTTATTTATCAGTGACTCATCCATGAATTCATGGACCCTCCATATCTGCATGTATCATCCATCATCCTGTCCACTGTGTTTCTAGCTCCACGATTTTTCCACACATGCTCTTAAGAAATATATGCGTTTTATTTTGCACTCAAAAACCTTGTTTTCTCCCCGGCGTTGAAAAAATCAAATTCGTAACACGCTTCGACTGTGAACGAACAAGTGCTGCTCAGGATCTTTGTCATCCAATGAGGAATAAAGATGTTTCTTTGTATTTCCCTTGAAAATGCTCGTACGTCCACCGCATTGGTTCATGTGGAGGGCTCGGGTAAGAGGCCCTTGGAAAAGAAAGGGAGCCTTTCAGTACCTCTTCCCTCATTTCCCCTCCTCTCCGTCTTCCCACTTGTGAAGTGTCACTTTGCTATCGGACCTCGAGGCCTGATTGTCAGGGGGTCGGCAGAACCGCTGGGATCAATGGAAGAGAGAACGGGGTGAAGAGTGGAGGCTGTGGGGTCTTTTAATGTCAAGGAAACTCACGGATTCCAGGACGTAGAAGTGAAGTCTGCTTGATTACCCGAAAGTAGCTGATTTGTTTGATTTATTTTGGTTAATTCAGCCTCTACTTAGAGCACTGTTCAGTGCACGCTCTTGTTTTTGGTGGCGTCACCTCCCACGGGGAGGTAACACTCGCTCCAGGGTCTTCGAGCCCTAGAAACAAGACATCTTCAGCTTTAAATGCCCATAGGAGTAGAGCCACACCCTCCCTCCGCTGGTGGATACAAAGTGCCCTCAGATTTGTCTGTATTCAAATAAACAAACCCTAATTTGAGATTCAAATGCTTTCAACATGCAGACATGTGAGACAATTGAAAACCCTTTGTATCGAACAGAAAATTGACGGACGGGCGCCAAATAGCTTCTATCCTTTTGTGTGTGGGCAAACTAGTCATTTAGTCAGGGATGCTGTGTGAGCTCAGTGGCAGCCCGTTATCGTCAAATCAAACATGACAGGAGGGAGGCAGAAGCACCAGACAGAAATAACCCTTTTCCTGCCTGCCGTTTATCTCCGGCGGGATGAGGGCTCTTTAAAAACACAGGCCAAAGGGCCACTCGGCCGGCCCCCGTTTGATGCTGTCATGTGACAAGGGCTTCTGCTTTCTGTCTTATTGCCGTTTTTGGCATGTCTTTTAACTTGGAAATATTCTCAATGGGCGAACGGTGCAGAGAGGTGAGATAAAAGTGGACAGATATACGGTATATCATGTGGAGGCACAATCGAGGCAAGGAAAAAAGTTGTTGCGTCATGATGTCAAGTTATTTACAGTTTCTTACCGTTCCCCTTATTAGACAGTAGAGTCCTCGGTATCGCAGGGGGACAGGCTGATGTTTGCGGGGCCATTTTGGCACACGTTCCCCTTAAGAGCCCTCCAAAAGGCTTCTCTCTCACTCGAGGTTGAGAAGGACTCCACTCAGCCCTCGATAAGCACCCCCCCCCCCCCCCCCCCCCCCCCCCCCCCCCCTTACCTCCCTCCTTCTCCTCTGTCCGCCCCCCCCCTCTCCACCCTGCCCCCCATCCCCGCCCCGCTGCCCTGACCGCTGCCCCGCTCACCCCTCCACTCGAGGACAATGGCTCACTTTCAAAGAAAAGCAGGAAAAAAGAGGAGCCCGGTGTCACAGAATTGCCTGTTTGCTGACGGAATCTTTAAAAGCAGCACCTCATAAATCAAAAAGGGGCATAATGGGCATTGTTTCTCCAAGAGCTACTTGTCCCACTAAAAATCTCCTCCTCTCTTCTCTTTTCTCTCTGCCGGCCTTTTTTTTTGTGCCTCTTTGGCAGAGAGAGCGGGTTAAGTCAGAGGTGGAGATTTTTTTTATTGGGGAGGGGGGGGGGGGGGGGGGGGGTTTGAAAGAAAATAGCACAAAGGCCTATGTTGTCTGCCCCACTACCTTTTCTC